TTTATTTGCATAGCTTTTTTTTTTTTTTCGGGATTTATTTTAAACTTTATGCCTTGACTTTTGTTTCAAGGCCGAATCTTTCGTTTTGTTGTTTCCACTTCAAACTTTTATCTCAGCGCCAATGTCTATTCTCATGAATAGGACGTCGTCTAAATAACATAAATATCTCCACTTAAAATAACGGATGTTTATCTTACATAATCCCATAATCAAATTAATTACCTGCACACTAATGTGTCTTTTATCTTATTTGTTTAATTATATAACCATAATATCCACTTTAAAGTTAATAATCTTAATTATAACTTTGCATCACATATCTTCTAATAATACATTTTCAGTCACCAAGTCTAACGTCCAGTTGCCTAACAGAGCTCCTCAACCTAGTGGCAGAACAACTTTAAACCATTTCAGACAAAGAAAACGCTGCCCCCTACAGTTCAACCTCAGGCCCCACCTCTCCCTCACTGACAGAGTTGCTGAGTTACACCTGGCAGGACCCTGAATGTCGCCAGTGACTGAGAGGACACACTGTCATACACAAGGAGACACTCGCTATCTCAAACACACACTGTTCTCTTAAAGTGACTGACCCTTGACCCTTGACCCTTGCTGAACGCGGTTCTTGACACAGTGCTGACCTGCAGTACTCATTCAAGCTCAGAGTAAGAGTTTGAAAACATCTGTGTGTCAAGCAAGTGTTGAAGAAATACTCCGTATTAAAACAAAAGCATCAAGTTGAGGAAAAAACAGATCGAACCAAACGCCTGAGCTTTTAAAATTTCCAAGAGCTTGTTTTTCGTGTTTTGTTTTTTTTAAGAAACACAAATAACTCGCAGTCCTGTCACGACACAGGAGTGTATTAAGATTTTTTTTTTTCAAATTAGCATAATTAGCCTGTGTTCCGGTATGAAATTATATATTTGAGTCATACAGTTGTATACAGTTCCAGGGTTGTTCTATATCTTATAGCAGAAATGCATGTATTGTAGTTTTGTTCTTAGTTCCTGATACTGGTTCCTGTGGTGGATGTTTGTAGCATTTGCAATATGTATATATATATATATATATATATATA